GGGGGAGGGAAATGAGCTGAACCGATGGCAGCACCACACAAGCCTGAGCGAGAGATGGCTGGAGCTGCAGGGCTGTCAGGGCTCAGCGGAAGTGCCAGGATCAGCGCCAGGCTCCAGCTGGAGCTCGGCGCTGATCCTGGTGCTTCTGCTGAGCCCAGAAGAAGCGCCGATCAGCTGGAATGTTGCAGCATCTCCAGGGTCTTGTGATTTACATTCAAATTCTTGGCAACTGATTCATATTTATGACGGTCACAGTGTCATGTGAAGTGACCAAAACCTGCTACAACCACCCAGCAGACGGGGGGAATAAATACCAAACACCCCCCACCCCACCCCCGCTACCAATCCTCAACAGAAATGCTCACAACAATGAAAACCTCGGACAGGAGGAAAAGTGTGGCTGGGCGGGCAGGCAGGTGTCTTGCTTGGCTGTGGCTTGGGGGGCACTTTTTCAGTGCCATTGTAACTTTGAACAGTCACTAAGCGAACTGTTGTAAGTCGAGGACTACCTGTACTTTATCACTTTTTTCCTTTTTGGGGGGGGGGTCATCAGGTTTTTGACACCTTGCTAGGTGACTGATGGTACTCGGATGTTGCCATATCCTAAAAGTGGTACAATGGGTGAAAAGATTGAAAAGCCCTGTTCTACAGGACCTGCCACTACCCTTTGACTCTTCCTTCATGTCACATTTCAGATTATTTGTTGTACTTCCACTGCCACCATCTGTCTTAGGTAGGAGGAAAAGCGGGGCTTCCTCTCCCTTAATACTGGGTTGTGAAGGAAATAGGGCATGCCATAGCTTGCTTGCCACTAAACTTGGAATCATCATCATCATCATCATCATCATCTCAGCCTAGTCATTTCCTGGTTATTGAAGCATGTAAAAATGAGAATGAAAATTACTCATAAAGGCAACTTACTTGGTGAAGAACATCAAGAGTTACTGGGTAATACATGTTGTCAATAATTATTCTAAGGACTGGACTCTGAGCTGGAGTTACTGCACTCTCACTAACTGCAGTTCCACTTATGGGAGTATTTGTTGTCTGTACAGCAGTTACTGCTTGTAGGACAGCTTGAGCTCGCTATATGCAAAGAAAAAGGGAAAAAAAATAATGCACGTGGATTAAGTTTAGAGATCAATAAATTCAGTAATTGCCTCAAACCATGTTGAAAAACAATCACAATAACAACTCATTAACTATTTCTAACCAAAGAAAAATCACCATCCACATTAGCTGAAGATGAAGAGAAGCTAAAAGTGAATTATGCATTAAGACTGGTTGCTCAAAAACAATAGAGCAGAACATACTGAAAGGTTAGCTATTAGTAAGTAGGAAAAAAATCTAGGACATATTGTAGATTTACAAGCATGCATGTTTGATATTTGTATTTCTTCCCATGAGCATGAGACCCACTGTTCTTTAATCTATTCTGTAAAGAAACATGAGAAAAAGAAGCAAAGCACTGCCATTTCTTGTAAAATAACTCTCAAAATCTATCAATAATTTAGTTTTTAATTTTTGGTAATCTATTTTCCTGTAAAAAAATACTTATAGAGAATAAATTTAGTACAGAATTTTGTTAAATCTGTTTTCTTTATCCACTTTTTCATTGGAATATATGATAGGAATATCCCTCATTTTTTTAACCAGATGAACTACCTCCCCCCCAAAAAAATCACATTAACTTTAATCTCCTTACTAAAAAAAAAATTCTAAACAAAAGCAAACATAAGGGCAGGCAGCCACTGTAAAAACAAAACTTTAGAACAATTACACATTAACAGAACTCTAAAATTTATAACAATGTGCAGAGGTTCAAAGAAATGAAAGAAATGAAGTTTAATTCAATGATACTTCCATTATCTCAAAAAAAAAAAAAAACAGATCAAAGTGAAGACCTATTTCAAAAGAGCAACTGAATGGCATGCCTTCAAAGTACTTTATATTTCAAAGTGCTTTGCAGATTTGATGGCTTTCCTTCTATTTCTGGGGTTGTATCCCTCAACTTTCATTTTCATATATGGAGAACAGTAGTAGCTGAATTCTATGATGAGATCTGTGACTCAGATATTGGCATAAGTATGTTTTATTTCATTCAGCTCTCTGCTTGATTAACAGAGCTGTTTTGGGTAGCAAAGCAACACTACTTTAGGTACTGTTCATGTTCTCAGCTCTCAACCTTAGCCAGCCTCAAGTCTTAATTTTGTTCTCTCTTATGCTAATTAAATGTTACTCTTCTTTAGAAGTCCTGCAAACATAATTGTGAGCTGAACTCAATGCTCAACACTCTGCATACGTTAGGTACTATTATTGTTATATAATATACTCGGCAATTGATAGAAATTTAGGATCAATTCATGCTTCATTCGATAATTATCTATATACTTGACAATGCAATTTCAAACATTTTTTTACTTATTTTACTAGATTTTTTATTCCATCTTTATTATGTAAGTAATTCAAGATGGCAAAAATACACAATACTCCTTTCCTCCTCCTATTTTCTCCACAACAACAACTTTATAAAGTGAATAGAGCTGAGAGACTTGTCAAGTCACTCAGCCAGCTTTTATGCCTAAACTGGACCAAAACTCAGTCTCCTGTTTCTAGGCCAGTACCTTAACACTGCATCAAACTGGCTTTTTTTGTAAGCTAAATGCTGTGTGACCAAGTAATTCTAGTTTTGATAGCCATTTTGACAATTACATTCCTGTAGAAAAGAGTGTCTGAATAGCTAAGGGTTGAACTGTAGAGTTTTTGATGCTCTCTGAGCTTGGTTGTTTGCTAGCAGATGTTTTATTACCCAACTAGGTAACATCATCAGTGCAAATGAGGGGGGTAGTGGTTGTTGCCTGTTTATTTGTATCAAAATGTCACAAGTTTTAATGTTCAGAACAAAATTTAGGCATTTCTTCAGAAATATGAATTGGGGTGCAAAAGGCTTAGCTGACAATAATCTGATGTTTGCCCCAGCCTCATTAACTGTCCCCTTTCTTTGGTAGAAGAAATCAATAGTGTATTTATACAAATATTCAAAACATATAACCAGGTGCTACAACAGAAAACAGGAAAGTTGGATCAATCAATGCATCCATCTATCAAGGTGCAGCCTTCAGCTTTTAAATTTGCATGATGTGCTTCTTGGCTTAATTTAAATGGCACTGCAAGTAGTCTTCAATAAAAAAAATCACTTCCAGTTTTCTGGTTTAGTGTGCAATCTGAATATCCAAATCTATCCAGCCCAATTATAAAACCTGTTAACATTCCCAATAACTTTCAAGGACAAATTTTGGTTTTCAAATATAATGGAAATAAAAAGAGTCAACAGGCAATAGAACCTGACCTATAGCTCAAAGTATCTACCATCAAGCTAGATATCAGTTCCTGGTATAAAAAGAGTATTAGCTCTCTTATTAAAATATAGATAGGAATCATACATTTCTATTCTTCTGGTTCTTCTTCCAGTTCTACATTTTTGTTAGCACTAAGATGGCATAGGATAAAATAACTCAAGTTGTGAATACTTAATTTTGGATTAATGTTTTAAAAATATGAGATGTGAAGGCATATTCATATGGAATAATTATTATATTCACCCAAAAATCCTTAACTCCCATGCTCTTAAAGATAAAAACATAGGGAACGCGTGTTAGTTTAATTGGACAGCTGTCATATTTGCTGAATGTTTAGTAATGCATAATTGCAGAAATGTACAGAAATATGCTCTAAAGTGTATTGCTACAACTGCCTCTATTACAACCATGTATCACTCCAAGTTCAGCAGAAGCAGGATTTATTCACTAGGCCTCATTTTTGTACAACTTTAGTCTCAATTATTGAAGCCAGTGATTTATTTATCATGGACAATCATTATCTGACTGTGATTAATAAACTTCAAATTGATGGAGAGCCCAAACATAAATGCCTACCCTTGAAGATCCATTGGTATTTTCTAAGATCTCTCATTAAATTTCTTACAGGCTGCAATCTTCTCAAGGCATTAGGTTGTGATATATTGATAAAAGATTTTGTTTGCCAAATGCACTAGGACAAAATACGTTTAAATAACCTGTGTCTTACTGTGTAGTTAATTTTTGGTTCTGTGTCTAATGAATTGGGATCATTCATTAGATCATGGTTCAGTTACCTAGGGATCAACACATAATATAAACACAGCTGATGGATCTGAATGTTCTCAATTCAAAGACATTCTGGCTCCTCTGGTATTCCTGAGAGCTGCAGACAATTAAATGATGTGTTTGACAGCTAGAGTGCAGGTGGCATGACATGATGATGAGCATGACTAAATAACAAAAAAATATTACTTGTTTCCATTGTTGCATATGCCCTAATGCTGGCTAGTGGATAATTTGTGTGATAAAGAGCCTTTTGTGCATGGACCCCAGGTATCCTGCTGTGCAAACCAGCTGAAGGATTGCTGTTACTAATTTGCAATGCATTTCTCATATAAGTAATTTGCATTTACAATTATATGGATATGACAGTTTGAACCATCAGAGATGGATGCAGACATGACACCATCTGGTCCTACATTTTGGCTTATCCAACCTGAGGATATTAACTTTGGAGGATTGAGGCATACAATTGTTTTCTGGAATCTTGTCTTTTAAAAATTTTGGAATTTTAAAACTTGGGCTTATTATATGAAATTCAGGTAATGCAAACACCTCATTGAGGAAAGCTATAATTACCATCATATTAATAAAGACAAAAATAATAAATCTTGACAGAAAAATGTTAGATCTAATCTAATTTTGGTTTAACTATAGGAACATAAATATCTGGTTACAACTGGTGGATAACTTCATGCCAAGCACAAGATAAAATGCATTTATTAAAAAAAATATATATGAAGCCCATTCCTATTTATGGCTTTAGACACTTTATAAATAACCATGTGGAATAAAAATGTGTAAACCTCAACTGAAAGACTGAATGGCCTGGGTAAATAAATGATTTTAACTCTCCTATTAAATTGTAACAAGGAGGAGTTCACTTTAGCTTCAGCAGCAAATGACTGCAAAGTTTAGGCTCCTCAATGCAAAACACAAAAATAGCTGCTGCTGATACTATGTCTATGAAAATAAGTAGCATATTGATAGTACTATGATAATACTATTGATTCAATATATTGAATCTCAGGTGATGAGAACTGATAGCAAAGTGTAAAGTTATAGTCTAAATATATATATATATTTCTACACCAGCAGCCAACCGTCAAATTTAAAACAGGTTGCAGGATTTAGACATAATATTTTACCCTATATAAATAGGGTAATTATATTTTTTGAATTGAAACACCTTTTAAATACATTTCAGCATTAATTTAACACATTTCTATTTGGGTAAAAAATATAATCCAATCAGTCTTTAATGAATAGAATCTAGACAATCAAGAACCAAGCATTTTTTCCTTAATTAAAATTATTTTGCAATTTTTAAACAGCTTCTGAACGCTTTTTAAAATGAATTGCTGGTGTTTATATCAATGTAGTGTTCTGGAAGATGCTACAAAAATTTCTCAGTACTTTCTCCCAAGACATTTTTTTAACTTCATCATCTATCATATAGCCTTGAAATTCTCAGGCAATGCCCCCATCAAAGTACTAATTGGGATGGCCCTTAGTTTCTGACATAACCTAAGGTCAGCTAGATACTGCCATTCACTGAGGCATTCACTGAGGAACCAGTTTATTGTGATCGACACAGTGGCTATGGAAAAAAAATCAAATTTAAAACAAATTTGCTTTTATATTTTAAATGAGAAAAGTCTCTAGGCTAGGATTAACAAAGAAGACTGGAAGAGTAAAACACAAAATGCTTGTTAAACCATTATTCAGAATGATAAGTAATAGAAAAAACAAAGATGAAGATGTTACCATTTGACATAGCATGGGTCAGTGCTGTTTTTACATTCCTTCATGAGAAAAGAAATATCAAACACTTAAAATGGTCCATGAAGTTAGTACCTGCATAACTGTAGTTTTACGGTTGAAGCATGAATAGTTTCTTCATCTAAAATAATACATTTTATATATCTTCAAGATCAAGTAACTATATACTCAGTTATTCCCACAGTGAATATGAATGTCTTTTCAATAAGTTATTTATTAGAAGAGCAGATCATAATAAGGTGAGATTGAGTTTCAAAACTTATTTAAACATACCAGAAACATAGTTCCACGTTATTGTATCTATGTAGCAAAGTAACCATTTTTTCCAGGTTAACTTGAGCTCTTGTGCCAGAAAGATTATTAATGTTAAACATGGTTAGATTCTATTAATAAATGCCATATTTACTACATAACTATAAAATAATTTCCAATATTCTGAAACATTTTATAAATACAGAACAACATATACAGACTAGTTACATGATTAATAACTATAATGTTACCTGATTAAGTGTATTATCAGTCTTTAATTCTTTATGATTTGAATACTGAATATATATAGGTTGATTGCGAAGATGAGGTGTCACAGCAGAATAATAATTTACCATAGTGATAGCAGCTTCTTCTGTTGCCAGCTCTAAAAAAGCCTAGGAAAAAATATATATACATAGCCATATAAAAAAGAAATTACTATCACATCTATAAATCCATCCATTCACCTATCTACCTTCAGAATCATAGTCTGGTAATATATTAAAAATATTTACCAAAATTATTTAGAATGTACAACTTATAAAGAACCACACATGCTTTATATGTGCATACACATGCACTAAGTCAATATATGCCACTTTCCCTGGCTTCTATAACATGCTATATCCTCTCCCTTTATGCTGGTCTACCACCATAATAAAGATTTGGTTTAATTTATGCTCTTCCTTATGATCAGTATTCCTTAGATCAGGGGTGTCAAACTGCTGGCCCACGGGCCGGATGCATCATCCGGAAGCCATGCCCACCCCACTGCCGGCAATGGCAAAACCAGCCTGATACGTTGTGCAACATCACGTGACATCGCGTGTTTGACATGTCTGCCTTAGATCATTATATCTATAAACATAAAATCACAGCTGTCATTTTAGTTTGAGAACATTCACATGAAGGAAACTTAAGCTTAAGAGTATTAATGAGATTATTGACATCATTCAGGACAAAAACTAAACTCTAAGGAACCAAAAAGACTGAAAGGCACAATCTAAATAGGCACAAACCTCTAAAAACATGATTAAATTAATAATTTCTATATTCTTGATTTTTAACTTTTAAATACATCTTCACTGTAGCAAGAAGTTAAAAAGTTATTACATTAAGTGCTTCCCACACTCAGTCATGATATGTAATTTTTATTATTTATCTATTAAATAAATTAACAGCATTATATAGAATTTCATGTGTTAAAGATTCTCAAATGCAAATATATATCTAAAATATATTTTAGAAAGCTCATTAGAAAAATAAGAGTCCATTAGCTGATGTTAAGAACCTGATTAATCTTAAAATATTGCTTCATAGCATTTGATAAAAATGTATTGTGACTGCTGAGAATAATGCATTCTCTGTTTCTGTTGCAGAGGAGAAAAAGCTACAAAATAACTACAGTTTATTTACAGTATTACAGGTTAGATTATCTTCCATTTTTGGATCGTTTTCCATAAAATGTGGGGAAATTAGCCCTAAAGAGAGAACGCTACAACAACCAACAAATTACTGGCTTCTCCCATTTCCAGAATGTTTATGATTTTCCATCCAGATTTTCAAATTTCCAGAATTTTCAGCAAGCATAGACAAATTGTTCTCAGTGGATATAACATCCACTTGTAGGGATGTTAAAACATTCCAAGCTTGTAAACGTTTGAGCCCAAAACACTGTTTTAAGTGGTCTGAGCACAGAATAAAACTGTGATTTCAGAAGATCTTCCTTCAGAATAAGCCCATTTCAAATATTCATATTCTGAAACCCTGAAGATATCATCTCATTTATAAATTAAAATATAATTTATAATTTTATATTTTATATCATTTTATATAATTTTTATAATTAATTAATTTAATTATAAATTAAATATATATATTTTGCCAGCATAACCATCAAAATAAAAGTAGCTCCATCTACATTATTTTTGGCCCAGACTAGGAGACAAGAAGAAGAGGGTGATGAGGAAATGACATTATTTTAACCAATGCTTAGAGGCAGATAACATTATCACTGATCAAAGTGTGATGCAAGATGGGGATAAATTTAATAGAGATTTTTCTTTTTTCTTCAAACTTCTTAGCTACTGGGAAGTTTGAGTTCCTGCTTTCTTTGTGGGCCTACAAATGCATTTGTTTTGTAATTTCTTTCACTGACAGTCATTATGCAAATGGAAAGCTCTGTTCCCTGCAATGTTTATTAGAAAGTTTTGCTAAAACTGTGTTGTTTTCGTTTATTTGTTGAGTATTTTGTAGGTTGCTTCTGCTGTGCGCGTTAACTTTTGCTTGTAGACTGTCAAATGGAAATATATGCATTGAGTTTAGGCATTTAAAAGAGAGAAGTCAAAAAAAATAATACTTTTGTTGCACTTGTCATTATTGTTCATAGGTTGAAGTGAATCATGCTATTTTTTTCTAGATTTCAGCAGCTGTTTGGGTATAGGCAGGCTGTGGAAAATAACAGTGTTTTAGCTGTTGGTTCCATTATTGCCTATTGGATTTTTTTTTCTTTTAATCACTCTCATTGCAAACTTTTGTGCCTACTGGATGAAAAGCAAAAGTAAGCCTGTATACCAAATCATCCCATCTAATTTTGTGGTTCAAAAATGAAGGAATAAGGCATTTTTCCAAGTTCCTATTATTTTCTATTTTTATAGAAAATAGTTGGTTCTATCTGAAACAAAGTATTCAGAGTTTTGTTGGGATGTAGATTTGTACAGTACAGTAGATTTGTACAGAGCTCAAAACAAGTTATGTCTTTTTTCTACTTTACGCACAACATTATTTCCTGATTATTTCAAGTTTCATCCAGCTCAAGGTAGTTTTGATACAACTTGCTATGTCAATCTAAAATTGATTCCATAGTGTGCTACTTCACTCCCATTTTAAATCACTCATGGAAGGAGACACAGAGTCCTCTATAAAAAACTATATCACTGTGTGAACATGATACACAAAACATAGGAAATGTATTCAGTTCCTTGTACTTTCCAGTCAACAGTTAATAGTCCAACAGTAGACTATTCTTGGTTGCAATATACAGTCAGACATTAGCCTGAGATCCATGTTACCAGAACAACACTTTTAAGATCTGCTTTACCTCCCACCCGTCAATTCTTCACAAAGCAAATGCATACAAATCTTTGCTGTCACACTGTATTTGATTTTGCACCTAGCAACCTAAAATACTTTTCCATGTCTCAGTGGATTAAAAAAAGTTTCCTATAATTGATGTGTTATGGTAAATTGCATACATGGTAAGTGGAAAACTTAAGTATCTTGGGTTGGAAAAAAACTTTGTACACTGAAAAAAATATGACAAAAAGAGAAAGTACCTGGTTTTTTCCTTTCAACATGAGAATGTTGGTTACCTTACCAAAAGGTAAGCCCAAAGCAATAACTTCTGTTTCGGTCACTTCTCCTGGTAATTTCCTGATATGAAGAACACGAGAAGGAGCTCCATCCATTTTATCTTCACCCTTGAATTTCTTGTTGTCGTTACCATTGGCTATAAGACATTTTTGAATTAATTTCATATCTAAAATTTATTATAAACTCAAGAGAAAAATACACTTTGTATATGCAGACGTTTTCAAGTTAGTATATGAAAAATGAATTTGAAATCTTTCAATTAAATGTTTAAAGATAATAAAAACTACATCTAATTATCAAGCAGACCCAAAACTCTATTATGACATCATACAGAAAAAGGGAAGATATACTTGCATAGTTTCTATAACTAATTATCTAAAGCAAAAATCAGTTTATGACTGACAATTATTTTTTGTATTTGGATTATCAAACAATTTTCATGTGTTGAGTCACACTGATATGTCATGAACATAGTGTATATCTCTCAAAATTATAGAATTTCTTTATAATTTACAGCTATAAATCTGCTTTCTTATAATCAGCTTTCACTGCTCCACAGACTATGAAGTTATGCTCCATCCCTGTTTGGAGTGTGATTTAGATCATCTCCACAAAACATAATTGTATTTTTTTTTTAAAAATAAAAGCTCCTATTGAGTTTTTGCATGAGTCACTACCATTTATTGGCCTATTCTATTAATAAAATAGAGGAAAGCACTTTGGCTGTGTGTTCTATTTTAATTTTTAAAAAACTGAAACAATTTAGCCACGAAACACTTACAAAATATAAAAATACATAAACTTAAAATTGTCAGGAAACACATCTTACATCCACAAAAATCATTTCTTTTCTAACAGAGATATTACATCCGTTGTTCTAGTCCGACACAGATTGTGCTTGATGTTTTTAAGGACTTTGCTCAAGAATCAAATACATACCTTCAAGAGATGTATTTGATTTATGTACTAAGAAAAAGACCATGATCATAATTAGGATGTAATTAATGTCCATGGGATTGAGGATGCAGACTGATGGTGGCATAGGTTGGACTTAATGGGTTTGCAAATGTACTATGCATACTGCCACTAAACTTGTAGGATAAAAAGATTTCAGATGCCAAATGGGATGCCAGAGTGCTGAAAAATGATACTGGGACCAGACAATAGTGACCATATTTAGCAATGTTGTGCATAGGAAAGACCGGGAAGGAGGGGGGGACTCAATAGATCACTAAAAAAAAAGTCCCACAGTGCAGATCCCTTCTTCTAATCCATTGCTCCAGATGATTACTGATGATAGTTTTTTGTTCAATTCCAAGAGCAATTTTTTATTTTTATTTATTTGATTTCAGGATGTAGAGATATCAAGATTTGACCTACCAAGTTTCAGGTATTGTACAAATCACAATGC